ATTTTTTTTTTTTTTTTTTTTTTTTTTTTTTTTTTTTTTTTGATCATAATATTAGCACATTTTGTGGCGTACAAAATGTTAACAAATCATTTATGCATAAAGTTTAAAAAATTAAGAAAAAAAATATATATATTATATATTTAGAATTCTTTATTCATATTTTTAACATAAAAATTTATATATATACATATATTATAATAATTGTAAAAACATTTATAAAGATAAAAAAAAAAAAAGTATATATTAAAATATAAATAATTTTACATAAATTATCCATTGTAAAATTAAAAAACGGAAAGAAATACAGAAAATTTTAATACACTATGTGTAAATATTGGTATTTTTTTTTTTAAGCTACTAAAATTCTAATTATTTATGAGGAATTTCACTGCATTTTTCTTTTAAATATCATTTAATAGAATGAAGGATAATGCATATTCATTTCTTCAAATATATTAGAAATAATATTACTCAATGCAATCATGAGTATAAGATAATTATATAATAGATATAAAAAATTTAATTTGTATACACATATTAAATATAAACAGAAAGTTCAATTATTTTTAATATTTATGTTTTTTCTCGTTAAAGTTTTTACTATTTTAGATTAGTTCTTACTACAAAGTTATATATTTTTAACTTAAAAATAAACGCTTTACATTATTTTCATCTGCATATGCATATCATCATTAATTATTGATGGAAAATATTTGATAAAAATATATTTTTTTTTTTTTGAAGCAAAAAACATTAAGAGCTTTTTGTTCAGAAGATTAACAAAACATACTTGTAAGTGGATGTATATGTATAGTCATTTTCATTTATAATATAATAAAATGATACTATCTATATCCCTTTTGAAATTGAATTTTATTTTTAAATTAATAATAAAAATTCAGTTACTAATTTTTTTTTTTAACATTAATTATTTAAAAGTAGGAACTTCATAAGGAAGACATTAATAATATATACATTCTCTCATAAATTATTAAAAATTATCATAAATAAAAAAAATTACTAATTTTTTAAAATTATAGAACATAAAAAATACTTATATATTTTAATGAAAGAAATCAATTGAAGTAAGATATTTATGATAATTACGTAAAGTAATAAAATTTGAAAATTTTAGAAATGAGAAGTTTCCTTTTATTTTAGTAAAAATTTAAACTTTTAAGGTTTCTATAGAATTCTATTATAAATAAAAATAATTGATTAAAAAAATATAAAATATATTTTTGTTTTTTTCAAATTAAAAGAAAAAATATTTTAATATATAAGATACTTTAATTCTATGATAATCCAAATTTATCCTTTATTATTTTTTTCATATTCTTAATTAAAGCATGCAATTAAAAAAAAAAAAAAAAGAAAAAAATAGACTTAAAAATTTACTCACACCTCTTAATGGTAATTTCATTTACAATTTATTATATCTTAATAGAAATATTAATAATGAATATGCTTTTTTTTATGATTTTTTGAATTATTATGAAATTTTAAATTATTTATATGCTTTTCATATATAATTATTTATTTAATTAAATAAAGCATAAAAATGTGAAAACAATTTTTCAATTTTTTTTTATCTTAGACAAATTTTATTCGTTTTCTACATTTTAATTTATTTTTCTTTAATTTTTAATAAATAATATGATTATTTGTTTTCTTTAAAATATGTGTAAACTAATATTTACTTTTTATTATTAGTATTAATATTAAATAATCTTATATTATCTGTATTAGTTTTTTTACTGACATTGTTTCATTTTTCTTCTAATTTTAATTCCTTTCAAAAAGAAAATTATATAGGAATATTTTCATTTATAAAGTTTATTTTAAATTATTTCCTTTTTTTAATGTTTTAAAGATATATGATACATGTTATGAGTTTATATACAAATCGTTTTATTCATTAAAAAAAGTTACTTAAAAAAAATTGAAGTAGAATATAAAAAGTACAATAAATTTTATGAAATTCTCAATGTAAAATTTAAATAATTTTATGTAAAATTTTTTTTAATTAATATTCAAAAAATCTTAAACATAAAATAATAGAGGTATATTATTACTATGTACAATTGTGTAATTTATTGTTAATTATAAAATTTTATTTTAAAGATGATTTTTTAGTTTTAAAATAAATATGAATATTTTTCTTTGAATTTAAGTATATAATTGTAAATTGTATATTGAAAATTTTAATTATATTTTGCTTTTTTATATATATTTTTGTATTATTTTTTACTTTTTTAAAAAATAATTGTTTAAATAATTTTTTACTATTTTTTATTTATTATATTTACATATATATATATATATATATATATATATTTTTATTATTTTTTTCATTTTTTTTTAATATTATTTTTTTAAACTACTAATTTTTTTTTTAATTTTTTTTTAATATTTTGTTAAACTAATTCCTTTTTTGTTTGTTATTTGTTTATATGTAAATTTATTTTTTAATATTTACAAATTTTCAATATTTTGACAAAAAATTAGTTAATTTTTTTGTTTTGGTTTAATTTATTTTCATAAAAATATATTTTATACTTTGTAAAGTATTATTTGAATAATCAATTAATTAACCAACTTAAATTCTTACAAAAAAGTAACTTATTAGTTGATGTTTCTTTTATAATTCTTAAAAATTATTTTATAGATGTTATAAATTATTTTTATGTCATTGTTATAATATGATGAAATATAATTAGCCTTTTTTCTTTTTCTTTTCAATTTTTAAGATGAAAACGTAAAAGAAAAAAAAAAAAAAAAAAAAAAAAAAAAAAAAAAAAAAAAAAAAAAAAAAAAAAACATAAAAATATAAATAATATAAAAAAAAATGAAGATACATAAATATAATAAAATATTATTAATGAAAACTTTTATGTTATTTTCATTAAATATAAGCTAAGAATAAAGTATTGAAGCTTATATATTAATTTTTTTTTTTTTTTTTTTATAAATGAAATAATTGAATAACTAAAAAATGGCAAATTTATTAACATATGAAAATGCTTTTTTAATTTTTGAAGACTACAACATGGTAACCTATACAAGAAAAAGAGGAAGAAATTTTTTAAAGAAAAAAAAATACTTAAAAAACTTTAATATTAATAATTGTTTAAGTATACATAATTATAATTTTAGTATATCTAGAAATAATGTAAGTTTAAGATTAAGTAATGAAAACAAATTTTTTGAAAAATTAGAGAGTAACATAAAGTGGCTAATAAAATATATAATAAAACTAAAAAAGCATGTAGTGAATATATATTTATTTATTAAATTTACTAGCTTAAAATGTATATTAAAAATGTCAACATATTATTATTTAAAATATATTGTTGAAAAGGTTTATGAGCATAACTTAGACAAGTTAGTTCGTGTGGTTTTACCAATTTATGATCTACATAAATTATATTCTTTTTTATATTATGAAAAATTTTGTTTTATTAATCATTATAAGAATATATTATCAAAATATGATTTAATTAAACTAAAAAGATATTGTTGTTCTTTTATTATTTTAAATAAATATAATAAAAACATAACATTACCTTATATAAATATTTATGATGTAGATATAATAAAAGTATCTAGAAAAAAAGAAAAGAAAAAGATAAAGAAGAAAGAAAAAGAGACAGAGAAAGAGAAAGAAGAAGAAATAGAAAAAGAAAAAGAAAAAGAAGAAGAAATAGAAAAAGATAATAATATGATAAAAATAAAAGTAAATAATACTAAAGAACAAGAAATTCAATTTTTTATAAGAAAAAAAAGAATTCTTAAAAAAATAAAAATTCAAAAATATAAAATAAAAAGAACAATAAACAAATATTTAAAAAAAAATGATATAGGATTATTTGCAGGAACATTTGATAAAATTCACTATGGCCATATACTTTTATTATTCTACTCAATTTTTTTAACGAACAAATTTTTATATATTGGATTATATAATAATAAAAATTTATGTAATAAAAAATATCATGAGGAAATTGATGATTTTAATTTAAGAATTTATAATATTTCTGATATTTTGTTATTAATAAGAAATATATATCATATACATTTTTTATTTAAAAATTTTGAACACATTAATCGATTTATCAAAATAAAAAATTCTCATAAAATTCTATATCAAATTATGACTAATGAAAACAGTGAATTTTCGGTTGAATTTGAAAAAGATAAATACAAAAAATATTTAAATGATTTTTATATTAACAAACAAAATTCAATTAAAGAATGTAATACAATAAAAAAATATTTATTCTTAATAAATGATAGAATAGATTTAATATATCAAAAGAAATTTAATAATAATAAAAATATCTTGTTAGTAAAAAAAATAAAAAAGAAATACTCTAAATATTTATATTTTCATATAAATTCAAATAAAAAAAACATAAAAAAAAAAAATGGATATCAGAAAAAAATTATTGTATTAAAAAAAATTCATGATCCTTATTCATTTGCAATAGATATTAATGATACGTTTTGTTTAACTTTATCAAAAGAATCTGAAACAAATGGATACAATATTGTAAATAAAAGAAAATGGATATTTAAAAAAATAAAAAAAAAGGATAATAAAATTATTATGAATAATTTTAATAATAATGACAAATATAATGATAAATATAATGAAAATTATTTAAGTGAAAAAGAGAAAACTATATTAAATATATTTGATACTATAGATTTAAGAGATGGAAATAAATTGAATTCTACTTTAATTAGAAAAGAAAATTGTATGCTAAGAAAAAGCAAATTTGCAAAAATTTTAAAATATTTTATTGATGCATGTTTATTTTTTGATATTGAACATTTTCTCATACAAATGTATACTAATAATTTTTTGTATAAAAAAGGAAAAACTTCATTTAAAAAACTTTATATAAATAAAGTAAAAAGCTATTTTTGCAAAAACAAATATGAAAAAAGTGACAGATTAAAAAAAAATGTGGAAAAACATAGAGAAAAAAAATATAATAAAAACAAATATATAGTTAATGATTTTTTTAGACATTTATTTGTTTTGTCATCTTTTTTTATTAATCATTTTATTGATGAGCCACATGTGCATAAAATTCAATTATTTATGAAAATATCCATATCTCTTTCCTTTTTTTTTTATAACAATATAACTTTATTAATTATAAGGAGAAAAGAAGAATTTGTAAATAAAAATTTTGTAAAAAATAATAATATAGAGAAAAAAATAAGTATGTTTGATGATAATATTGAACATATTTTAAGAAGATATATTAATGATATAGATGAAACATTTATAGAGAAAATATTAAATCAAATTCTTATTTTTACTATTTTATTTTTATCTATATCAATATTATGTAAAATATTTTATTTTGATAATTTAGGAGGGAAAAAAAAAAAAAAAAAAGAAAAGGAAATGGAAATGGAAAGAAAAAAGGAAAAGGAAAAAGAAAAGGAAAAGGAAAAGGAAAAGGAAAAGGAAATGGAAAGAAAAAAGGAAAAGGAAAAAGAAAAAGAAAAAGAAAAAAAAAAAAAAAAAGAAAAGGAAATGGAAAGAAAAAAGGAAAGGGAAAATGAAAAGGAAAAAGAAAAAGAAAAAGAAAAAAAAGATTTGTTTTGTACTTCTAACAAAACATTAAGTGAAGTAAATAATGGATATTACGAGATAGTAAAAGAAAAAAAGGAGTTTAAAAATTTAAATTATCAATATTTTTTAGATATTTTAAATAACTATTCAAATAAATGGAAATATATGAATTTTACTTGTGATATTTATAAAAAAGAAAAAAATTATCTTTTTTCTTCAAATAGTTTTAATCCTTCTTTATTCTTTTCTAATTACATCAATAGTAAAAGGATGCATTCATTCAATTATATTGTTACTCCTTATACATTTTGCAACTATAAATTAATGAATAATCTTAATAATCGTATTTTTAATTTTAAGGAGTATTTTATTCAAGATAAAAATAGAAAAAAAAGTTCTAATTACAAAAATTTAAATGTTATAACAAATATTAAAAGAAAAGAAGTTAATAATAAGAACGTGGAAAAAAAAAATCATTTTAGAGATAAATGTAATGCTCAAAATTTCAATCTTCTTTCTCTAAAAAAAATGAAAATAAATATTATAAATAATTCTTACGAGATTAAAATTAAAAATGAAGAAAATATACTTAATAGTAATAATAAAATAAGTATAAATGATATAAAAAACTATGTTAAAGGAAGAAAATATAATAATTATTACAAGAAAAGATTAGAAACATTAATTAGAATAAATATAAATAATGATGATGATATACATTTTTTTAGAAAAATACTGATATACAAATTTTTAGATAATTATTTTATTTCTTTTTTTTGTTTTTATTTCTTAAAATATATTATGAATAATGAATATGAAAAAAGTGAATCTTTTAATAAAACAAATTTGAATGATTTTTTATATATATTTTTAGTGTCTTTTGAAAAGCATATTGAAATAATTATAAATAGTTACATTAAAAAAAGATGGAAACTAATAGAAAAAAAAAATGATAGTTTTGATGTGTATAGGAGATATATAACAAAATTTTCTATTATTCATAGATATATAATGACAAATATTTCTCCTTTAAATAATTATAATATAGATTTTGAAAAAAAATACTATTTTAAAAAAAAAAAGAAGAATTTTGCGAATACTCCTTTCCATATAAAATTAGATAATTTTAAAAATTTGAATGTTTTTTCATTTTACAATATAATTTTTCAAAATATCTTAAAATATGAAAACTATTATTACCCATATTTCTCTTCACTTAATTACTTTCATTTAGATTAATTTTTGATACAACTGGATAGTTTATGGAGTAAATTTCAAACTTTTTATGAATTTTTATCTTCTTTTTTTATATAAGAACTTATTTTAAATATTTTTTTTTTTTTTTTTTTTTTTTTTTTTTTTTTTTTTTTTTTTTTTTTTTTTTTTTTTTTTTTTTTTTTTTTTTTTTTTTTTTTGTTTTATATGATATTTTCCTTTTGATCATTTTTAATTATATGGTAAAATAATTTTTTAAAAATTATAAACTTAAAAATAAAATATGAATTTATAGAAAAAATAAAATTAAAAATATTTTATATATTTTTAACGAATGTATATATTTTATTATTTTTCAAATATTCTTTTTTACTTATATAATAAAATGTTTATGTGCACAAAAAAAAAAAAAAAAAAAAAAAAAAAAAAAAAATAAAAAAAAAAAAAATTAA